TTTTTTTCATTAAGCTCATATCTTTGCTCTTTGCAAACAAACTGAGACCCTGTTGGTTCTTCATTGGGTCAGGCTGACTTCATATACTAGTGTGAAAGGATTTTTGGCAATATGACGGGATTTGATAAAATGTCCAAAAACTGTTACTACTTTGCTATATATCTGCGCATTAGATGAAACTCTGGAACTTTGGGGAATGACTAACTTTTGTAAAGAAAACTCTAAAAGGGAACAGAAAAAAGAAGAGTACTGAAACAATAGTTGTTTGAGTAATTATCGTCATTAACTATTGAAATTTTGTCATTCGGCGCTTCCTTCATTTTATCAGGATAACGTATCAGAATTGAACGATCATCACAATCCATCACAGCTCCCATTTAATGAACCTCTTTTTTTTTTGTTCTGAGATGAACTCTGTAATCTATATCTGTTCTCCACATGCATTGGGCAAGGTTCTCTTTACTCCTGTGAACTTTTGCTTTGCAAGCAAAACACGACATTCTCATGTTTGAGATAATTAGTTCAGCGATACTCATCTTGGCTGTCTTTCTTCAAAATAGAAACTCATTAGTACTTGCTGCGCTAGAGGACAACATTAGCTGCTAGCCGTTTCTTTCGCTTCTGTGAATTTTTTGAATATCGTTCTTAGGAGGTAAAAGTTTTGAAAAAAATAATATAGAACTAAACGACGGGGCCGCGTCGATGGCGACACCTGGAGCGACAACGTCTAGTACTTGCTCGGATAGTGCAAGCTCAGACAGTGGACTCACAGCAACTTCACAAAATTCTCGGAATGGTGGATACTCCATTTTAAAAGTTTGCTGGTCTTATGATTCATTCAAAAACTTTAGCGACTCCATCTACACCAAAGAAGCGGCGAAGTTCGTTGAAAAAGGATTTTCGCCAAACCGTATTTGAAAATGTGAGTGTCGTTGCTGAGCTGAGAATTTCATTTAACACGCGTAACTCATTTTCAGATACATTATCTTGGCTGTTCGAAAATTGACGACCCGTCAAATGAGGCTGAAATGCTTAGGTTGATGCGTTTTCTCGATGAACAGCGAACATCTGCCACAGTGACTGTGTCCTTGGCTGTTCCACATTCTGCTCGAGGCATAGTCGTGTGCGTTGTGATTTTTTTATGATCTATAGTCTATCAACTCAGTGGTGTTTTATAGGAATTTTTTTGCTTTTCCTTATGTCTGAAATCTCAGCTTGAACATCACAGTCGCTTTGCGCAAGGCATCTGTACGAAACTAATAAGTCGCTATAATTCAAAAACCTGTACCTTATTTTCTCTGATGAAACTTAAAGTCGTTGCTTCGCTTTTTTAGTGCATAAGCTGCAATAGTGCTGTTTTA